GTGTGTTGAAGAACATCTTGTACAATATTATTTAATTATCATTTCATATTCTAAATATGCAGTTTAAGGACTAGAAACAATCTGCACACACTTTTTTAACAAGCTCTAAAAAACACTAATGAAAGGATCAGATGGTCTGGAGGAGGAAGGAGATATTCTGCCACATCATCATGGAAAAAAAGGTTGATATGCGATTAGAGGATGGAAAGTAATAAAGGAGGAAATAAGGAGCAGTAAAAAAGAATTTTGGCGAAACCTAGTTGGCAGTAAGCAAGTGGTTCACCTACATGACCCACACTGAAGGTGAAAGGCATTTCCAATTATTTGATACAACCCGTTGCTCTTAATCTAAGATTTCAAAAGGTATTGCCTGAGACATGCCTGTGGTTTTTCACTGAATCTGCTTTTGCACATTCAGTGGGTGGTTAAGTCATTTTAAACAGAGATCACACTTTTGTCTCAAGTGTTCGTGACTGCCGCTCCCTGGTTTTCTCTGATAAATGACAGATCTCTTCAGGATATGTGATGCAAGTCTGAAATTTTCAAAGACAGCAGCACTTTAGTGGATGCTTCAGTTGGTTCTCTCAATGCAAGGGACCTGGAGGGGTAAAAATATCCTTTGACTGCTCTGTATGAAATATGTTACTGCCCATTCTGACTCTAACACGTTTTCCTCTTTGAGACGTCTGTGTAAGAGCTGATGGTAGACGGTCACTTGTTTTTCCAGTCTTTGGTTACTTTTGTTTTATAAAACTGTACGTGATGTCTACCTAATGTCTACAGCTACTCCCCTTCCCTGTCACAGTGTTTCCTAACAAACTTTTATGTGAAACCAAGCCATGAACAACGTGTAAGAACTGTACAGTAGAATCATAACTTTCTTTGCCTTCGTCTTGCCTTACCAAATAAAAGAAAGAATTTGTTTAATGGGTAATTTTGCAATTACATTATAATTACACATCAATAAAAAAAATACCCTAAAAAATTTTAAAATAAAATTAAAAAATAACAACACCTTTTTAGAGCTGTTACTTTTTATTCCAAATTCCAACTTTCATTTGAATGTAGGGGGAAAACATTAACATTTGAACTTTAATGACCCCTTTGAATTCAAAATTTAGTCTATAAGCGCAACAGATTTTTTTACGTAGCTTCCCTTTTGATCCAGCAGAGGGCGCTGTAAAACTAGCGAGTGAAACCGTCCTGAGTGGAGAATCTCGGCACCAAGTCATCCAAGTGAGGCAGCGGAGCAACATCTCGTCCGACTGTCTGCTGTTCGACACACTGGGCTTCAGCAGGCCTCTGAGCAGCTAACCTGCTAGCCAAGGCTCAGGGTGAGAGACATGTAAGAGGAGGATTTCGGCGAATAAGATCCAGTATCACTTAAGACTGACCTGATGCAACGCCGTTACAGAGTCAGTAAAACCTTTATTTCTCAGCCTCTGAAGCAGATGAACATGAAATAAAAAAAAAAAAAACATTTGAGAGCTTAAACCTTTGTGTGGCCAGGTCTCCACTTTCAAAGCAACCTGCGTCTAATGAGTAGAACGTTAATGCTAAACCTTAATCTAACTTGGCAACAGCACTAAGTTGAAACTATTTCCTGACATTATTAATAGTATGCCCACCAAAACACTGAATTTCATGGCATGTGTTTTTTACAATCTTATCATGCGTGATAAGACTGAGTTTAGCCTCATTATCTTTGTGACCCAGAGGATTGAAAAACATGCAGGAACTATTTCTTGGCAAACTACAGCTGGGCGCAGTGCTTGTGCACAGCTTCCTGAAGGCTTGTCCTCACACTGATATTACAAGACTGAATAGCATTGTGCCTGTCCAGAAAAATAAAAGCTGCGGTCACTGGCATATCTGACAACCCAGGCTACAGCTGCACAGAGGTATTTGCTGGATGGATAAAGTGATTGTCAAGGAAATCGTTTCTAACACTTGACGACTCCCCCTAAAAACACAAAGTGTGTTTTTACATTTCTGTCGCTGCATGGGTCGTATGAATGAGGCCTTGCTAGGTGCACTTTCAAACATTTTTTTGGACAAAGCTAAGCTAGCTGTTTTCCCCCTGCTTGCAGCCTCTATGCGCTACACTAAGCTAACCACATCCTGACTCCAGCTCTGAAAACAGCTGACCCCGCACAGTATATGTGGAGGGGGCACGGCAGATCCTCCAGTGTGTTTGGATAAAGATTGTACAGATCTGTTAAGGGGCCATCATCTGAAGCCATGATGAATGGCTGCTTACACTCCCTCCCAGACAGGGATGAGTATGCCTTCTCAAAACCAACACCAGCGAATGATTTCTTGTTTAATCTCCATATAATACAGCGTTTATGACTCTGCGTGACTCTTTGAATAAAATGAGATTTCATGTTGTAAACAAGGTCACTTAGGGAGAGAAAGATCAAATCTGGTGAGAGTACAAACCAGTGCTGTGTAATACATCGCATGATAGCATGCAGCCATTACATTTGCAACTGCCTCAGGATTGTGGTTATGTTTCACAGAGAATTAAAATGGCGCTTTAACTGATGTGACACGCTCATAAATCTTAAAGAAGGATTTCAGTGGCCCATTTATGACCTAAATCTACCTCAATAATTTACTACTAATCTACACCCCTGTTTCTGCATGATAAGACATTCCCCAGCTTCTACATAAAAGTCATTTACGCACGGCCATATTTTACTGTCACTAACTGTTTTAAATGCACTGACTAGCAAGCTCTATTTTCAAATTATATTTGAAAAGATTTTTCGTGTTGTTTACTCTCAGCGACTCAAAAGTGCAAAAGAAGACAAGACACTCAATACGATCCAAAGGGTCCCCAGAAGTTCAGATAGGACTTACATAATAAAAGATCTGCTGCAACTCTACAAACTGTCCTCTTTCAAATGGTAAGCAAGGTGCTGCTACACAGGCACATTACTCATGTGATGTCTGGTGCTAAAAAAAAAATAAAAATAAAAATACTGTAATCACATTTTCTACAACACCACCATTCTCAGTGGAAGAAAACATCAAAAGCTTCAACTTTATAGCGTGCCACTCTCCTTTTCTCTGCTTTCTACATCACATCACTCTCTGTCCTGACTGCGCCTCTGAAATAATGCCTCAAATTGAAGACGACACACAGCACTTTTTTAGTTTGGACTTTTTCCCTGACAAAAGCTATGAACTGGGTGACAGGAAGCTAGGCTCTAACAGCGTCTATGATGTGTGATGTTTTCCTTTTCATGATTTATTTACTAATCAAATGCACATGTACAACCACGCTCTTCACATGTTTATTTATATATCTTAACATATTTTAACATAACTTTTGTCGATGTGCATCAAATCCTATATCTGCACAGCTCATCCGTGCCTAAATACTGGGTATTGATTACTCAGGCTTTTGAACTCCACTGTATATTTTTTTTTAATGTGCATACGGCAAATAGCAATGTTTCATCACATTAAACTTAATACTGACTGATGAAATAAGCAATAGGAACAGAAAATACCGTATTAAACTCTTGTTAAACATCTGCTAAAACCAAACTAAACAGCTAAATCTGGTCATGTCAGCTCGCAGCTGCTGGTTGTCGTAATAACAGAACATGCTTTAGCATAGCAGCTGTCAGACGCTGGAAAGATTTGTCACTAAGACATCTTAGTCCTGAACAGAGTCGGAGATGACTGAACCTGAGGTGCCGGTGAGAGCTGCTTGGCTTACTGTGAGGGAGCTGTCCAACACTGGAGTGCATCATCTGCAGGGTAAAGCTTATGTAATGCAAACTGAGAGACAGGTAAATGAATTTGATGAGTTAATGCACGATGCCATGTGTGAAAACGTAAGCTAATTATACTTTTGAAGAAAATGATAGATAGAAGATAGATTTTTTTATAATTATATTTGTATATCTATATTATATTTTATATGTATTTTATTAAATTTAGTCTTTATTTGGACAGTACAGTGAGAGACATAGAAATTCAGGGACAGAAAGAGAGGGGGTCACATGCAGCAAAGGTATGTGGGTCGGCCTCGAACCCATGGCCGCTGTGGTTAAGACTAAGCCTATGTGATAAGCGCTCGAGCAGATGAAGCACAGAGGCGCCCCCACATATAGATTTTTATTCATTCTTTATTTTAACTGGACTATTTATTTGGAATTGTGCACAGCAATCAAACAAACAGCTCCTGTATCTATTGACTTAAAGCAGGTCCATATTATTTTACTTAAAAGGGCTAATTGTAAGTTTTCTCTGCTGCCGAATGAGGTTTATTGCTGGAAGCAGGTGGTGGTGATTGTTGCTTGACAAGAGCTTCAGCCATCATTATGTTTACAAGACAAGAGGTTATAAAACGTCCTCTGAGCAGCGCTACGTCTTCAGGGCAGATCGGAGGCTACAGCGAGTTGCAATGGGAAAAAGTGGCGAGACGGGCCGGGGCTAGCTGGTTAGCATGCTAACTTCAGTAGAAGAAAAGACGTGACGGAGACAAGAGTTACTGGTGTTACTTTCTAGCTTTATACCAAGAGCAAAACTTACAAACAGCTCCTTTAACACTCATATGAATTCATATCATATGTTTCATTTGGGAACCACTGACTGAGTGTATACGTACACCGGTATAGAAGTGTCTATTTTATGGTGCAATATTTACCAGAACTGTATAAATTTGAATGTTGCTCTTAAAAGAAGAGAGTAGAAATGTCACTGCTGAGCATAAGCACATTTTCTACAGAAGATCAACAGGGTGGCATCAAAATGTCACCTCACCCCCGTCTATGTTATATCACGCAGCAAAGGAACCCTGAGGAGAATATACACATCGCAATAATGTGTCAGAGCTGTATGTGAGTGCTACCATGTGTCACTTGCGGTCTTTTGTTCCCACAACGACAGTGACACTGACGGATCAGAACCACAGACACGTGCATTACAATGACGATGATATATAATGATAACTTCTGAAGGTAGCAGGTAAGGAGACTTACTGTTACTGTGGACTCTTGATGTTCAGATGTCTTTGTTGTGCCTCACTCATCTAAAGGCTGCGGGATGCTCATTAGTGCTGCATCTTCTGCAGAGAGGAAGAAGCAAGAAAACGCAATTAAAAAACAAGCTTTCAGAGATGAACGAGCACCGCTGCAAGTCTGACTTCTGGAGTGATTGCATTAATGTATTTACTAAAATATATAGTTATTTATTTTTCTACAAGCTATTTATTAATTTCACTTAGAGTAAAAAGCAGATGGAAAGAAATAAGCGCATGTTTCAGCTGTAATTACGGCTGTCACACACACACATAATGAAAAGCTGTTTCTGTTTTTCTGCGTTTACACCGTCCAAGTGAAACTGAGATTTTTTTTTTTTTTTTTTTATGTCAAAGCTCAGAGTGACAAGTGGAAGAAGGACAAGCCTGAACTTACAAGGCCGTGAACATCCCACGTCAATCTGTCAACAGCCTTTAAGAAACACATAAAGATGGATCACACAACACACAGTACGAATGATCAGACGAGACACGCTCAACCATATTTATTATTTTTGTGTGTGCTTGATGACAGAGGTGCCGATTCGGCTCTTTCCAATGGAAGCACATGAGAAATGTTTTTTTTTTGTTTTTTGTTTTTTTTTTCTTTCAAGCACCAAAAGCTTTACCTTCTGCTCAACACTATAAAGCATTTTTATTCATTTAAGCTATTAAATTTACAGCACAGTGTCAGCTCTGCAGATTTGTGAGCTGTCAGTGTTTATTAATGGTTTAAAAGAAAGCGAACAAACACACTGATCAATCACTCTCAAAAAATGCAATGTTGAAAGACGGAAAATCTCGACAGCCAGGCGCGTTGACTAGAGGGATAAATCTGTTTTCCCTTTATTAGTCCTCCAGTCCTTCACGTTTCTTCCCACATGATTCCCCAGTTTAATATTTTAGAATCGAGGAGACTCTCCAAAACCCATCAGTGCATTTTGGCCTCGATGACACTTGAATATGTTCAAGTTCATATGAGCACTTTATAAAAAGGACGCACTCTTTTCAGGATTAAACTGGGTTGTCTATACGCTTGATAAATGAGGACCCAAAGCTTTCTATTACCTTCTGTTACCCTGCAGCATTGCATAGTCATCATGAACGTGCCTGTGTGTAATTTGTGAGGAATGACATTCAGAGACAGATGTAAAGGGCAGAGAGTGTGCATAAATATGGAAGGTCCTGCATCCATAAAAGAGGAGTGATTACTGAATGCAAGATTCTCCTGATATATGCTGCTGGAGAGATCATCTCTGCACACGCCGGTTTTTGAATTTTAAAAATGAGCACACACACAAAGTCATAAGTGGACTGTATTCACCAAGACTTTGAGTTCATAAAAACAAAAAAAAAACAAACAAACAAAAAAAAACATCTGACATCTGCATCCACAGAAAGAAAAACAACTTTTTGCTTCGGTGCAGTTGTCCACCATCAGTCCAACAACTGCACAGATAAGGAAAAAATGAATTTATTTTTAAGAAACAACAACAACGGGGACAACTCTGAAAAACACTGAACCCGCTTTTATGATTTAGAATGAATATCTGCTCAAAATCAAATCCTTTCCCTTCCCAATATTGTCGTTTCCATCGCAGCGAAAACAAAGCTGACAAGATAAAAATTTTCTACAATCTATTTCCAGGCAAGGAATAATGTAAAATGGATTTTCTGCAGCATTTCTCTCGGTGTTAGATGTGTTCATATGGGTGCCTTCTGGCGTCCCGCAGTATATTGTGCTGAATAATGGAGGGAAGTAGATAAATAAACAACTGACATTTCAATCTCCCCTAAAGCAATGATTTTATTTATCAGAAATGTGGTTTTACTTCATAGACATGTAAATTCTAACAGGAAAAAATGTTTAGGAAACTATTCATACTGTGAAACATGATGTCATTACACAATGAAGTTGTCACAGTTGGATTATTTAAATGAAAAGTATAAAAAAGAATAGAATAGTATTGTATAGGATATGGAGTGGGAACGCAGTCAGCTCCAGTGTAAAACATCAGAGCAACAAAAATGAATGGCTCCAGATGAGGATTTATTACTGGTCTTACTTGTCTCTTTAATAAGTACAGATGAAAGAACATGAAAGAAAAAGGCAGAAGTTCACAGCACCATTCAGCTGAAATTAATTTATCCAGTTCCTCGTCATTAAAAGCAAATCACCCAGAAATCATGACTGAGACGCGCTGCCAACGAGAAGTTTCAAGTCCAGAGGACAGGGCTGCTGACTTGTTATGAAGTAGAGAGGTCCCGTGGATTAATCCTTTTAGGCAAGTTTTGACAGCGAGTCAGAAAGTCGACTCCACAACAAACTTAAATAAAACAAGCCTTGATATAGTATTCCAAGTCAAGTTATTTTGTATGTTCTAATATTAAATGTGACTTGAAAAGATCAACTCGGCCCAAAGTCTCTCTAAAACAACAAAATAAATGAATGAATAAATGACCCACTCATCAGGCTGCAGCAGACAGAGGAGCACAAACTCTAATTATATAAAAGATATTTGTTGCGTAAAATTGGATTACATTCCAACAATAGGATTATATTAGGTCTAATACTAATATAGTAAATCCAATACAGTGTATGACATTAATAAAGTAAGGCCAGGACATACGTTCAGTGAAGTGAGTAATGAAAGTCCGATCAAATTCTTAAATAGAGTTCTTCACACTGCTCCAGGTCCAGTAGGATCGGTATGGGTAAGTGGACGGAGCAGTTGTGGAGGATGTGTTCATGGTGGGCAGCATCTTTCATCACATACTGCTATGCAATCATTCTCATTCCAAAAAAAAATAAAAAAAAAACTTTTATAAAGACCTTGAACCCTTTCCTTCCCTCTGGGCTCTGAAGCCTGAGTTTCCTGATAGCAGCACACCATCATGTGGGCAGGAGCACAGCAGATCCAGTCCATCAGTACATACAATGCTGGAAGTGGGAGATAAGAGACAGGGGACATACAGATAGCACCGTCTTGGCTCTAGCCCATCTGACTCCCTGAAAAGCAGGACTCCTGCCTGCACCGGGCAGATGTCAGGTTTTGTGTACAGATCGTAGAAGATGGCACGGCTCTCTCCAAACCTGCAGCGCTCTGACCTGCAGACAGAAACCGCAGCGGCTCTGACACATCTGAAAGAGGAGGCTCAAAAATAACGAGCAGAGACTTTGTGACTTTTAGGCTTTTTAAATAGCTCATCCTTCATGCTACATTAGTGCCCTCACAGCATTAAATGACAATGGGGAAAGATTGTGAATGTGTGCTTTAAATAAGACCACCGTGAAATATAAAGTATTTCAAGTGCGGCTTTAAAGGAATCTTGTAACGGAGATTTCAACATAATAATGATTTCAATTTTCAAAACTTTGACTACGAGATCATTGATAATCAGGGTAATAGAAAAGTCACTTATTTTTACAAAATGGAATTTATTTTTGTCAACTGGGCCATCATTCGATTTGGTTACGACACAATTTTATTTACCAGTTTTATTGCTGAGATCTTGGGACAAGTTGACTGGATGCAGTTGTAGGACAAAGTCCAGTAGAACAAGCGACAGAAATGTCCACACAATCAGATGTCTTCAGTCTGACTATATTATTTAAAATCACCTCAAATGACACAGATGCTCTGCGTGCAGAAGGCCAAAGTTTTTTTTTTCTTCTCTTCAACGAATGAGATTTCATAAGATTGGGTCGTATTAATGAGAAGACTTTAAAGTGCTCAGAAAAAAAAATAATGGAACTAGAAACAGGAAATTTCAGTCTGCTGATGAAAATGATGTGATATGACTGAAAGCTCAAGTACAATAGTTAATGGACTTTGTGGCATAGTCCACATAATGTAAAATGATAACACTCTTATGCATGTGTGTGTTTAGCAGCCATTTTTACACCTTGGTAATTATCTGCACTACAGTTCACCAGAGGTTTTCAAAGTGGGAGGCGGGCCTCACCGGGGGGCGGCCGGGAGGGCCTACAAACCGTTTGTCTTTTTTTTTTTTCACAAGTGATTACATTATCACAAGGAGTTCACGTAAATGAGCCTGAACGTGTGTGATTTGGTTAAAGAGAGTTCAGAGACACATACATCATTTTAGGGAAATTCTACTCTTTTTTTCCCAGAGTCAGAAACGAATAAAAGCCTGAGGACAGACCTTTTCTATATATTTGGTTTAGTCTCATTAGGCCATCTTGGCTCAATTGTTGAGCGTCTGTGGGATCAAATAATATAATCATGATCCCATAGGCATCCAGGAACTGAGCAAAACAAAGCAAGTAAACTAAGGTGGGGTGAGGGGGCGCCTTTTTCCAAGGTTTGTCTGAGGAGAGTCCCACAGTCTCAGACTTTGACCCCTGCACTTCACCAGATAAACTAAAAACCCCAAAGACATACATAGCGAACATTCCTCCATGCACTTGGATGTTCATGTGTGTGTACATGCATTAGTGGTTGACATGAACCCATATTCAATATGTAGTCTGAGAGGAGAATCATGCATCAGAAGCATACTATAGTATGCTATATATATAGATATATGTTGACTATATATGTTGAATTTCACTTTTCTTATATCACTGTGTTGTAGTTTTCAATGATTTCTGTTGTTTCTGTAATTTGACCACATCCCCAAATCTCAGGATTAAACTTGTGACCACAATGTTACCAGAAAGATTGAAAAAAAAAAAAAAAACTTCAAAAATAAGATCCAAGAGGTAAAAAAAAGATCAGACAGGAGGAGAACATTGAGTTGGACATCGAATGAATAATATTGAAAAGCAAAGAAATACGCCATAGGTGCAAACACAGCTTATGCTCATGTCATGTACTTCATCTCACAAGACCAGAGAGTTCACCACCAACACTCACAAACACACACACACACACACACACACACACACACACACACAAACACACACACACAAACATGTTCACACACTCCACAGAGAGTTGTGGAGAAAGGCAGCTTACAGCAGCTTTAATGTACAACCTGACCCAGTTAAAACAATAACTGATATTTCATGTCAGCTTCGGTCA